ATCTACGTTCCTACCCTCATCTATGGTCATGAGCTTTGGGTCATGACCGAAAGAACGAGGTCCCGACCCCGGATAGGCGGAAGAAAATGGATGGATGGATGGATGGATGGGTAGTAACCATGCTGTGGCTTCACCTGTCACATTTTCTTTTAAAGAAAGAAAAGTAGCTTGCAAAGATGTCGCATCGGTGCTACGTGATTAAAAGCAGAGCTGCGCGTCTAATCACACACACGTCTTCCTATCTTTGTGAGGACCACACACAGCGCTCAGCCTCACTGCGCCGTCTTTTTCCCCCAAGTTTGGTGAGAGGTGGATATGGAGGGACCAAAAAATAGCTCTCCACTTGATCTGGCCTTATTTAAATAAAAATGACTACATGCCGTGAAATTCTTAGAGGGGCGGGTCGCCTGTATAATGGTAGGGGAAACACTGCTGTGACTGGGTTGCTATGTTTTCGTTGTTCTGTTGCAGTGTGCTGCTGGCTGTTTTGCTGTGTCATGCTCTCCAGCCCCACAGGAAATAGCAGAGGGCTTAAGTTTTTTTTTTTTTTTTTTTTGCTTTCTCTCTGTCCTCTGCAGGGCTCTGTTCTTAATGACCAAGAGTAACTTTCAGCCTCCGAAGTTGAAAGATAAAATCAAATGGTAAGGCTACAAATTGTCCCATGGTTTATTTGTCTCACTTGTGTTCATCAAACGAGCTGCTGAGATTTCATTTTCATCAGTGCTTCCTCTCAAGATTCAATCATGAACTCCTTTGTTCATTGTGTCTTTCCTCTCTTTCTTTACCGAACAGGACAAATAATTTCCACCATTTTGTCAAACTAGCTCTAACCAAGAACCCAAAGAAGAGGCCTACGGCTGAGAAACTGCTGCAGGTGAAGAAACAAGCCAGATATTTGTAGTCCTTTTTAAAATGCCTGTGTGATTGATTTTATATTATAAATATGAATGCATTTTTGGAAAGATAATGTTAATTAGTTATTAATTGCCCTTGGTCATCTCTCAGCATGATTTTAGATTGACTCCCTCTCCTGTTTGTCTTCCAGCATCCGTTCGTGTCTCAGCCTCTCAGCAGGACGCTCGCCATCGAGCTGCTGGACAAAGCCAGCAACCCCGACCACAGCACATTCAACGACTTAGATGATGACGAACCTGAACCCGAGGTAACCTTTGACCTCCTCCTGGTCTTCTTTTGGAAAAACTTGACATGTCATCAAGCAGGTCGGCAGAGAAGTGACTGAGTTTTGCTGGATTTTTCTCCCTTCTTAAATTGTCTCCTCCTGCCTCCTCAGTTGGTCTTTTATTGACCTTCTTGTTCATCCGTCAGGCTTCATGTCCTCTCTGCTCGCTCTTCTTACTCTGGTTCATGCAACTTATTTTTTGCCTTTTTTATTATTTGTTCCCTATCCCCTCCACCCCCCTTTTCATTTCTTCTTTCTCCTTATTTTCTTCTTCACTTCTTTTGGGTTCTCACCGCTTTTTCTCTTTGTAGCGCTTCCCTTTCCTCCTTATACTTCCTCCCCCTCCTTCTCTCTTTCCCCATTTTCCTCTTGTCCTCTCAACCCCAACCTCCCCCTCCCCAGTTTAAGTACAGAGGCCATTTCCTCCCCATAAGCCCCGGTGCTCGACGTGCACCCCGTTTTGCAGCTCGTAGGAAGGTACTTGTGTCGGCTGCAGTGATTTCATTCTAACACAAACCGTTCTGCCGTTGTTGTTGTTGTTGTTGTTGTTGTTGTTGTTGTTTTATTTTTGGACCAGGACTACGGAACTGAATGAACAGAGTGAATTTCCATTCTGTTCAATGTCTGCTGATGTTGTCATGGAGGTTGTCGTTGGTATGTGACACACAGGCAGTTGATGGAATACCAAGGCTGTTGCATAATTAGTTCTACATTCCAGGGAGGTCTTGTATTTTGATGTTGAAGTTTTGGGTATGGGTTTGTATGAAACCGTATAATCAGAAGCATCATAATCACCATGTGGGTTTCTTCTAAAATGTAAAAAAATTTGCCCTTTTAAGTTTTTGAAGTTTTTAACTTTCCTCAACCTTTGGAACATAGTGGAATTTTAGATCCGAATCCTAATTTTTAAAGCTGCCTCATAAACACACTGCCATTATTGGGTAGTCCAAGTGGTCTAAAAGTACTTACCACGACAACATCAGTGAGATTCTGCTATTTCATGACAGCAACAGAGATGATGAAGTAATGTTCTGGGTTAAAGACGACATATCATGCAAAATCCATGTTTTAGCCATTAAACTCATTTTGTGCTCTTAGAGTCTCAAGGAGTGCTGAAAAATGGAATTTAGTTTCTCCCGGTGCTGCGTAGATATCTGTTATATTCTGTTTGGGTCATATTTTTCACAGTCTTCTCTACTGTCTAAAGTAGGCACTTTATTGACCCCAACTGCACAATTTAAATGTGAAAAAGTGGGATTAAAAAACATATGTCTCTTTTAGAGAGAGCTTCTAAACTATGCATCACATTGTTGCACTCAGTCCAGGACAAAAGTGTTTGAAATCAAAGATTATTAAAAGTGCCATGTTAATTATTTTTATTTTTTCTTACACAAGTTAGTATTATCTATCTATATATATATATATATATATATATATATATATATTAACCTCTTCAGTCTGTTTGGAAGGTTAAAAGTCCATTAGGTGGTTTGTAGAAGTAGAAGAGTGGGAAACCATCAGATTGTGGAGTCAGTTTACTGGTTTAAATAAATGTTTCTAACCACTGTTTTGTTGTTGTGCGAATGGATTTTTTTAATATGTATCTAGTCAAACAAAACTAAAATATTTGTGGTATTGGTTTGTCATCTCTGGAACTTTAAAAGCATGGCGTGAGGTTGCTGTGTGTTTTCCTGTTAGGTTTGAAATGATTAAATCTAAGCGTCATGATTGTTAATTTAACTAACGAAGGGAAAATAAAACATTTCAGCTTACAGGGACTTGAATTGCACAAGAAGGAGAAGTTGGATGTTGCTGCCAGGAAAGCGTTCTGTTTGCCTGTGCAGTGTTTCCCCTAGGAAATTGCTCTTGGGGGGCTACTTGTTTTATGAAAACAAACTTCTGTGACTCACCTTCAATTATGGTAATAAATTTACACATACATGAATATTTAATTGCCCAACTACATCCTAAAGT